CACCACTAATAAGAGATGTAGCCTTGAAGCATATTGCATTTTTCAAAAGCCTTAGCTGGCCTTATGAACATTCATTAATTCGTAAACAAGATTACCCATTTAAACTTTTAAGTCTCAGCAGTCTCACAGTAACTGCACCAGACTGTAGAAGCCCCAAAGCGCACCATACAGAACAGAGCATCATTAATTTGGGGGGATGTTTATAGCGTTTAGGGAATGAAAGAGAGGCTGCAATCTGTGTTGGGTGATGTGGCATCCCAAAATCTCACTGGCATAGTGACTTCATATGCTTAGTGCTCCCAGTTAGCTGTGCAGAAGCAATTTTACAAACGAATGGGACCTTAAAGTGCACTCTCTCAATGGCATGGCCATCTGTTGGCGAGGCAAATGTGGATAATTTTGCACTGCAAAAATACAAATGCTGCCAGTTTCCCACTCACAAATACTGCATCTAAAGTTCACTATCGCTATCCGTCTTCTCCATCTTGGGCTGTGTTGTGAATTTAATTTGAAATTTGCTTGCCAAGCAAGAAGTTTATAATTTAAAGTTCAACTTTTGGGGCTATTTATCTGGTGCAAACCATAGATATTAAAAATTATAGACGTAGTATCCGTGATGTCACCGATAGGTTTCCGAAGAGCACAAATGAAGCTACAAGTAGGTGTGGCTAACTGTTGCCATTTTGTTCATGCATCATCTCACCGACCAAGGGATACCAAATAAGGGCAATGAGGTGGAGCTACAGACTTTATACTTCATTATATGCGACTCGTTTGTGTTCTGACCACATGTTCTTGGTTGTGTACTATATCAATAAAGTGTTTAGACTTTAAAAACACTTATTATATATTGAGCCATTAAGCATTATTCTTATTATGTTTTTCTACAGGCGGAAAATGCTAATTTCTTCCAAATACTTCAAATATAGTCTGTGTTAGTAAATGCAAGGCTATTGATGAAATCCAAGCAGAACACTGTATGACAACGTTACAGATGACTGTTCTAGAGCCTACAGCAAATCAATCTGTCAGATTTTGCAGTGCATTACAGCTTTAAAGAAAATTATTAATGATAAATTATCTGAAGTAAAACAAATACACTTATAGAGATGGTATATTCAAGAGTTCACACTTAGATATTGTTTGACAAATGTTAGCAGGTTTGGCATGCTGTCCCGGGAGAGAACCCTGAGCTTGGAGATAATTGATAACCTTGATTGAGCATCAAGCAGTGGTAAAGAAAGAAAAGGGGAGAAGGGGTCGATGGGGGGTTTCTTTGGAAAACGAAGATAAGGGAGTAATTTTAGCTAAGCTACTTATAGTGAGTTTGGATTTATCTGATTGGCTAACTAATGATTGTAGAAGAGAAACCAGCTGGGAAATGGAGGCAACTTGAACGGTTTGTGAGCACAATTAAGTGCACAGCATGCCATATCATCTGATAATTGTAAGAAATAATTCCAAAAGACAATCAAATGTGTAAAGCCACATAAAACAAAACAAAATTTGAGATATATGCTGAGTTCAGGGGCTAATGTGACGGTGACTAGCAAGACCTAACTGTCACTCAAGTGGTCACGCTCTTAATTATGCAGACTTATTATAACTTTATAAAGCTAAATGGATGAATTACTTAAAAAAATCACTCCCCTCACAGTTGTCAAGAAGGGTAATATGAGCTATATACACCAAAATCTTCTTTTGTACCAGGCTACACACATGTTTTTATCAGCTGTAAAATTGGTCAATTTAGCATTGCTGTCAGTGAACATCAGGACTTCCTGGAGCCAGCTCCCAAAGGCGAGTTGATGAATTGCAGTTTTAGTTACATCCGTATTGGCTTCACAAGGAAGAGCGGGATGTTGCTGCTTGGTGCAATTATAATTAAACTTTTTAAATGGTATTGGCCAGTGTTGTATTTAATTTGCTTTTTATCACATCTTAAACTTAATATTCTTTTTTCAAACTTTGCATTTTATTGTATACATGCTAAAATGTTCTGGTACTTGAGTATTTTAGAATGAATGGATTAAAAAAAGACCTAGCTTGTTTTGCTCTTTTAAAGCAAATCGTTCATGGTGAAAATGAACTTGACTTCCCATCTCTATTAAGAAGGCATAAGTGGTTTTGATTATTGCTCAATCAGCTTGTTCAGCTGTAACAAGCGTAAACAAGCTAGCAGCAATTATATTTTTAGTCAATCCCCAACAGTAGTTTCCTTATGCGAGTAAGATCGGAGAATGCTGGGCTGAACCTACAGTTGTGTGTAATGACAAGCAGGGGACAAATCTTAAAAGTGGTAGGGGATGTATCAGTGGCCTTCCTGGGCAGATGAGTTGGGCCTCATGGGACACTTCATCTTCTGACTGCTTAGTATCTGTAAGAAGGGTGCAGAGTGATTCAACTCAGCAAATTACTCTGTAATAAAAGCATGCAGCTGAGGAAGAACGTTTCCCAGAGGAAGCAAACTGCTTTAGGCTTTACAGACTGACTGCAGAGAGCATTAGAGGCTGCCTTCAGGAAGCTTCAGGTAAGCAGCTAAACTGAGGTCAAATGGCACAAGGGAAAGGATCATATGCACTAAAAGGAGGCTGTAACCTTGTAATTTTTTAGTAGAAGGAAGAAGGTTTGCTTCTCAGGGCTTACTCACACTATGCTATCCGGACCATGCCCAGGTGCGTTTTACTGGTTCGTTTGAGAAGTGTGAGTGCTCTGAATTGGGCTCAGGCGCAGTTCAGTTGGGCGCCAGTAGAGGTGTGCCAGAGCGAGGTTCACTTGGACTTTGGTGCTGTACGCTTGTAGTGTGAGTGCAAAGCACGCCTGAGCCCGAAACTGAATACGAGACGTGACATTTAAAGGACTGCTTCATATGGATTTATCAATTATTCTTACTGTTCATTGAACGCAAACTGTCATAGTTTATTGAAGACGCAAACACTTCACTGCACAACAGCTGCACGTTCAGCAAATCTCCTAATACCTGCAGCATGAGGACTTTTATGATTATTTATGAGAGCCAAAAGTAACTGATCTGTTCGGTGAATTAATTGACTGCGTGTCATTGCATATCAAACAACTAAAGTGATATAACTAAAGCAATCTTCACTGTGCTGAGCGAAAGCTCTTCTCTTCTGTTAACTGACCAGTGCATCATCGATGACGTAAGTGTGCTCCGGCTCAGATGCATTTAGAGTGCAGGCCGTCGGGGCAGACGGAATAGGGGACAAGCATCCTTCGGCACAGTTTAAGGCAACTGTACATGGTGTGAGCACGCCCTCAGTTGTAGTGCACAAGCTTGTATACTCATCTTTATTTACTGACAGCTTTGTTAGCTGCTGGAAATAGCCCTCCACTTCCGCTGTCTAAAAAACATGCCTGTTCTACGGATGTAGTTCCACAGGTCTTTACTAGAAAGCAGGTTATAGTTACTTTTGAGACATGTCTTTCACTTCCCTTGACCCAAGCTTCTAGCAACCCAATCAGATACCCAAGCGGCCTTTTCAGAGCAAAAATACAATACACCTAAATTGATTTTGTGGCAATGAGTAGGTCTTGAAAGAAAGGGTATGTCAAGAGATGAAGAAACAGGAGTCTGATGCCTATAGCTGATTGGATCACCATGCTGAGCATGGTTCACAGTAAAGCATCTCATCAGTGCAGTGTGAAATGTAATCAGTGCAGCTCCCCACTAGGACTCTTTACGCCTTTGTTGAAGATTGGTTTAGAGGCACTGATGGAAATTGATTAAATGTACAGGGTGGGAAAACAAGCAGAGCTAAACTGTGTCTACACCTTCATAAAGAAACAAAGCTTGAGAGTCGAGGTTCAGCCGGACTGATTGAACTGGTCAAAGAACACAACTCTTACTAAATGAAATTGATACTCAATCACAGACTACAGCCCAAGTGCCAAGCTGGAAGAAGATAATACAACTTTGCAGATTTTTTAAAGCCATTGTAAGATTTCTCACATCATATCCCATATGAAATCTGATTTTCTTTATGGAACATGTACCATGTTCATTGGGAATAGCTTGTAAAAAGTTGATTTACATTTGCATAAAGTAGAGCATTTCTGAACTTTTGCTGCATGTTGATTGCCAGGTTTACATCCGGTCACTAAGAGTCAGTGTCCTCTAATCACTAGAAGTTGACAGCTCTTTGTTGTGTCTGTGTCACTAACGAGAGATTTTCACATAGTTTCTAGTCCTGCAGTAGTTTCAAGAAAAAATGGTGAAGGCATCCACTTTTTGACACGTTAACACCATAGGAACTGGGAAGGATTTTATTTTTAGAAATTCCATTTGGGGGAACTAAATTAGCTCTAAAATAGTAAACTATACGCATAAACGTACACTGATTGTGCAAATGCATGGCATAAGAAACGGGCACTCTACTGTATTTTGATGTGCTACAAATCACAAAAATACAGAAAGCTAATGTTCAGGCCTTTACCTGTTGCCTTTATCTACAGGGTTGTGTTCTTTTCTCAACCTTCATAATGTGTAGCACTTCAAGCCAGTCATTTATTTTGGTTTGCAATTGCATACCTCTACAATACATAGAGGTACATACCGATCACAAAAGCACACACCACACAGTGTAAACTCCACATCAGTCATGGTGTCCTCCATTCTCCAGTTGGAGATTTCATTGACTGCAGAGCTTGATGTTGCTGTCAACCAGTCCTTTAAAGTACATAGTGAAGTTGTGAATAACATGTTCTTCCGTACACCGGAGAATGGGAAGGAAATCATTTTTCGGAGAATACATCACAGAATTTTAACCTTTGTTAGCTGGTGGCTAGTTCCTATGACTTAGTTCCTATAACTACCCATTGCCCAAAAGAAAGTCCCTATTAACCTGAGATTTACCTGGCTGGAAGCTAATATGTTTGAAAAAAACCTAATTAGTCAATGTGAACACCTTGTCAGTCAATTTTCATGGCTGTGTTAATTATGTTTTTTATTCTTATCACTTTTCTTTCCTGTTTTTCTGCAGTTCAAAGTTGATGGAGAGTGGTGGACATGGATTGACTATGAGCGCTTTCAGGAGCTCATTCAGCAATATGAAGAGAGCGGAGGCACCAAGAACTTCTCAGCAATGGACTATATGGCTAAGACCCCAAGCTGGGCCGTTTTTGGGGCCGGAGAGAGGGGTTTTGACCCCACAGACACACGCTTCCAGAGAAAGAACAAGACCAAAGATATATCAGGGTGTTGACAATACCGTTGCCTTCCTAGTTTATGTCTGTATAGGAATGTGTATTTTTAATGTTCGGGATAGATCAGCTGATCGACAGTGTCCACAATTAAGATTTATGTTTTTATTACTTTATCCAACGTTCGCTTTTGTGCTCTGAGACTGGCCTTAGGGATGCATTTCATGCAAATGTAAAAGTAATCTCTTGCAGACTCTCTTTTTCATGTCGTTTTAATGGATGTTAACTTTTGTTTTTGGTTGTAACCATGCTAATAAACAATTTAATTTCCAAGTCTTGTTCACTTTGAGCTCTTAATCTAATAGCTCTGGTAACAGGATGACAGAACCGAGGAACTTGAATTTAGGACCTCATTTACTCATATAACCTTAGGGCCTAAATTTAGAGAGCACAAGAGGAAAGAACCACAAAAGAAAAATATCACTGTAGTTACCTCCATTAATAACATGTCACCTCAAACTGTGATTTGTACATTCTTGTAGACATTTAGAGGGCAGATGAGTCAGCTGGGACTTTGAATGGAGCGGTTCATACAGGTCAGCCCGTGAAATAGCTAAAAGCAGTTAGCAATCAGAACTGCATCATAAATATCACAGTAACAACCACTCAGGAAATTCAAATATAAAATTGCAGTTTACATCTCTCTGTTTAGTATTTTGCATTCCTATTAATCTAGGGCAGTGTTTCTCAACCACCTTACAGGACCACCAGCTCTGCACATTTTCCATGTCTCCTTAAACACACCTAAAATCATCACTCATTAGCAAAGACTGAAAGACCTAATATGGATGTGACAGACAAAGTAGACTTCCAAAACATGCAGTGCTTGTGGTCCTTTAGGAACATGGTTGAGAACCACTAATCTAGGGTAATTGTCCAGATCTTGATACGTCAAATATCCCTACAATATTTTTTGCCCTATTTTTCTTGAGAAATGTTATGGAGAATTTGTCTATTCTCCGTTTTTGGGTTACAGTATTGTATCCATAATGTGTCTACAAAGCTAATTGTTATCATGTTATATACGTACGTACAGGTGTGTCGCTATTCAAAAATGTTTTTGTTGCTTGTTGCCTTATTATTGAAGCTATTTTTCTGCTGTTCTACAGGAGTTTGAATGTTATTGTAGGAGAAAGGAATAAGCTTGTTGCTGAGTGAACTAGGTCACAGCTTTTTCTAAGCTCTGTGACTGAAAGAAGCTGAAATCTGTGGCTTTCTGTAAAGCGTGGCGAGAATAATATCCAGATCAGACAGACACATACGTCCCTGCTTCTGTCCTTCTGCTCAAAATAGAGTCAACAGTTAGTGCTGCGTTCATCTGAAGTCAGGTTGGAGTATTCTTACTTTATATCTATAATGTTCAAATGTAAATGTGGTCCACTGTTCAGGACTGTAGAAAACCCCCCACTTCATTTAAATGAACAGTTTTCATTTTAACTGGACTGCCCAGCCACTTGACAGATTTATACATACCCATCATGACTGTAGAAATTACGTAGTGTTTTACATTTTAATGACACTTTGCTGAAATGTACTGTAGTTACAATCTTATTCTTTAAGTCCACAATGATTTCTCATCTCTGGATTCTGACAAATTAGCTCAAGTCTGTGTCCTCTGAGAGCACTTACAGCTGAAAGTTCACCAGATGTATAGGAATGTTTAAAGTAGACCTTTGATCCCACCCTTTTAGAGTGCCTTGTCTCCAAGTTGTTTAAACATAACAGAAACAGAGAGATGTGTAATGGTCTGTGACAAGTGACAGAAAAGCTATTTCACACTGCTGTGAAAAGGTGCCATGTTGATCTGGGCTAATGTGACACACTGTCTTCCTCATGCATTTCAGTCAGTTTTAGCTCTTCAGGGAATTCACCACACAAATACCAAGGTGCTTTTAGGGTCTTAAAAAGTGTTAAAGTCTTAAATAAAATAAAAAAACCTGAACCTTAGGTCTTAAAAAGTTAAAAATTCACTTAAATATTGTCTTGTAGGTGTGTTATTTTTCTTAGTTCCATGTAAAGGTACCCAATCCGGCCCATAACCATAGAATTACCAACAATCCATCTCAAAAAAACATTGAACAAAACTTTGTTATGACTCTACTTACAGATATGGTTTAATTATCTTCCTTACAATAACATTGGTTTAATGCTCTCTGTGTATTTATTGACCAGATACAGTATGGTGGGGACACTGATCTGGGCAGACTGGCGTGTATACAATTAGCTTATAGTTTTTAAAGAGTTTTTTATTATTATTATTCTTAGGTTGTAGGATTTCTTTGTCTTAACACGTTTTTAAAATGTGTGGCTAAGAAATTTTAAAAAGGGATTTAAAAGTAAAAGTAAAAATCTTTTCCAATCGGGCCATTAAAACATTAGTCTAGTCCACATTAATCTTGTGTTTAGTTCTGTATGGATCTGAAATTTCATTTAATAATAGTCTTAAAAATATCTTAAATTTTACTTTGTAAAACCTACAGAAAACCTGATTACACATTTCCCCCCCTCCTAGCGTAGACATTTTATTTGTTGTCTTTTTACTTTACTGCAACAGCATATGGAATGCTACATATATTTGTCAGTAATAAATGTACACAAGCTGTCACTGGGGTGTGACCTTTTCAAACAGTAATTTTTTGTTTCAATAAATGGTCCATAATGATAACCTAAAAGCACACTTTAGTAGCGAAAAAGGGAAGTAGTTTACTCTGTTTACATTTTAGGTAATAGTACTTTTTTGGTGTAATTATGGGCCCTTTTAGGTGCAAAAATTTACCAGGGTGCCAGTTTTTCAACATAGGCTCATTCTGAAAGCGTAGCCATTTCTGGAAATCACGAATTATGTAGCCAGAGGGTACGTATGGCTACAGCATAGACCATGACAACGGGGTTTGTGTCTGGTGACGAACGGTTCCAGTAAGCAGGTAAGACACGTGAGAACATCAGGAATGAATGGCACTTGCGAGAGAAATTTGAGATCTGGAAAAGCATTCACAGTGGCTTCTAGTGAATTTACAAAAACTGCACAAAAAAAAAAAAACGTAGCTCCTGGGACGCATTTTGTGCTCTTCTAGAAATGTACATAGGGGTACATAATCAGAATGAGCCTGGGTTGCAGTTTTTGCATCTCGGTTTCTGAGAGTGTAATGCCACTGTTTATATATTTCACATATATATATATTTTATTTTACTGCATTTTTAGTTCACAATGTTGTGACAACAATAGTTTTTTTGGGGAATTTTTAAATTAAATTTTTTCCAATCATTAGTCTCTTTATTAAATTTTTGTTGATGCAAATATCTAATCAGCCCATTACATAGGCTCAGGGATTATAGACATGGGGTGTATTCCACAAAAGAAAATTAACTTACCATCTGCCAACCTCTGAACTCTTGGTTGATTAACCCTTAACCGGCTAAACCCTTGGTCACACTGAACTTTTTGCCCCATAGACTTCCATTTATCCGCAAGCGAATTCGGCAGACCGGAAACTCATGCAACGAGTTTCGCAGTTTGATGCGTTGGAAAGTTTAAGCTTGGTGAACTCTGACCTGCGAAATTGCATCACGTGACTGCGTGAGATCAATCAAAGATCAATACATAATCTCTCTGGACAGAAATTTTAAATGTGGACCAATTTTTGGATCTTTTTTAAATGTCTAATCATCTTGTTTAATCCCGCTAATTTTTCCAGTGTCGTATGACAGAATTTCGTATGCACAAACTAGTGTGACCGCAGCATTAATCAATTTATGTCAGTTACAAAATTGCTCAATCAATGTTTAATCAATTGAACCATAAACAAAAGACAATCTCAGCAGAACGCCAAAACTGAGTCACCGTGGAATATGACACCAAAAAGCAGCATGGAATGTTTTTTTCTTCTTTTTATGTTTAAGAATGGTTACATTCACAGTTCTTATCGCTCCCCAATTAGTACATTATTTCAAAATCAGTATCTTAAATCTTTGATTTTTTTTTCATTGTTATAAAGAATTATACTGTTTGTTTGAAGTTAATTATACATTGAATAGGGTGTATACGGAAGGACTTTAAATTTGTCAGTAACCTGGGTTAGGCACTTGCAGTAAATTGTTTGCCATTGCAAAATTACGCATTAAAGGTCTGTTTTCTGTAAAAATCAACAATCTCCAGTGGCTGAGTGATATCCGATATAAAGTGGGTCTCAGATTGTACAAGAAGCACTGCATTAATATATTCATCCATATATTCAATGGAGCTTCTGCGCTAGCCTGCCGATCCTGATGGCGTGTGTGAGTAAAAAGCTTTTTGTCTCGTTTTACGCTTGAGCAACTAAATGAATGCCAAAGTCTATTTAACTGATTATATTTTTCATTACATTACAACATCGATGCTGTAAAAGGAACTGTATAAAATGAAAAAAAGTCACATTAACCGTTTACCGGAAGTTTATCAGTATGGGAAGAATATACCCTGTAGAAGGGTAATTAAACTGTTGCTTGCACATTGTTTTAAAGTGAGATGTATGTCTAATGTAATAAAACACACTTTTTAAATACATAATGAAATAAATGAAGGACAAAAGTGAATGCAGTTTAGGGTTGGGCGATGTTGACCAATTTATGACCAATGTATGATGCAGTGACTACTGTAAAACGTGACGATGGCATCGTCATCGTAGGCGGTGGTGAATTAATAATTTATAAATAATGAATTAATTCATAGCAAATTAATTATTTGTAGCCTACTGCTTTAGCTACCTGACCTGCATGGTCTTTGTTTTACCCATAACCAAATCATAAATAAATAAAGATAAGTTACACACAAATTGGCACCTGTAAAACAATTTTTCCGCGAGACTCTGGCATAAATAGGCAGAGTGATCTTTGTAGTTATAATGGCGTCGACAGGAACCAGCCAACAGTATCTGATGTTTTCGCTAAAGTTACTAAGTACAAGCGTGAAAGATTAAGGCAGTGGTACTGATGCTGTAACACGTTACCTGATAAGATTCAATAGACCAAAGAGTCATTAGATAGGGACTAGATTAATTAAATATCATGTTTAACAACTAAAGTTAGACGCCATCCAGTGGTATATCATTGATAAACTGTCCAACATGCACTGCTCTCTCACCCGCTGACTGCCTGAAGCTCAGACGTACAAATATACTTGAACGCATGACAGAGTGTGTGTGTGTGGGGGGGAAGGGTCATGTGATGTGTGTTTTCAGCGGTATAATGTGGAAGGAGGGCTTTTCAGAAATCTTAGTTGAAACGCCAGTGTGGAC